TAGTTTTCTGGAACTGTCTGAAGATATTCACACAACTGCTTTAGCATAGCCTAGTCCTTGGTTGAGTCTTTTGATCGAGTCTAAATTCAAACTACAAAATAATAGTTTGAAATTTAGTATATATTGTCATGGCTAATAGTGGAAATTGGGATCTTTACTTAAAATTTAAGATTACTAAACTATTTATACTTTTTATTATCAAACCTAATCTAGCCTTAAATCCTAATCTACTATATAGTGCTACATATAACCCTAAGTATTTTACAAAAAAGCCTAGCTAATTTGATTTGTACCTGGAGAATAACATGTAAGCAAATGGATAAAATCCAAAGTGAAGTATTTCGAATAATTAGATATAAGCTATATTTGTTAGTCAAAGGCAATTACTAGAGATAGGTTTTATGTATATGCATGATTCTGAATCGTACGTATTAATGCGCATTCATGCAATTTTTTTATTTTTATTTTTTTATTTTTATCATGCATGCATTAATGCGCATGATTCTGAATCTTGTGCATTTTATCTCATCTCTAGTAATTACACAAATCTTACTAATATTAAATAAAGTATTATTCTAGAGGATACTATATACAGCATTGTACATCTTATGAAGTAGGATCAATTTTCAGCATCACTATAACATTTTTTATTTATTATCATAGATCCTTTTCCAAAAGGTGTTATATTATCACAGCCTGTATGTTTTAATAAGGTTCTCCATGCATACAATTCACAATCATTAAAAATATAATCTGGTGGGTATATTTCTTTCAATTTTGTATTCAATTTGATAATATTGCTTTCTTGGTTTTTCCAATTGATAAAAAAGCTTTTACATTCTATAGACATAGCGATGTATTTTTTTAAATGATAATTAAAAAGCTTATTCATAATCTCTTCATTTTGACAATTTTTTACTGCACTTGAGAGTGTTTGTTCATTGTTAATTTCTGACTTTTTTTTTTCATATTTAAGCCCAAAAAGCATACTTTCTGTAAATTGTGATAATATACCGATTTTCATCCAAACCGTATTAAGATTAATGTCATGAAAAAATATTTATTTCTTGAAAATTTTGATGTATTTTAACAATGGCTTCTTTATTATTAAATTTCTGAAAAATAATGTATGGGTTTTGCAAAAGTTATATACAAAAGAGCATTGATAACCTTTTCCAGCATAATTCCAATCAGTATTATTTGATTTGCCTATTCCAGAAATAGTCAAATTTTAAAGAGTGCAGTGACCGAGTGAAGTGGTGGGGTTGCTGCACCTCCAAGCGGCAGGTCTAGAGTTCGAATCCCACAGACAACGATTT